TGACTTTAAAATGGAAATGCATGAAATGCATAAAAAGTCTTTTGAAGAAATTCAATTAATTATTGCAAATTCGATGGATAATTTACGACAACCAGAAAGTCGTCGTACAGATAAAAGACCCATTTGTGGCCGGAAACGAGTTATTTCTGAATCTGATGTCAACAACGATAGATCAGAAGGTGAAATTTACGAAAATTCAAACCCTGATTTTCTTTTGACTCAAAAGAAGTATAAGATCCCGAAGTTGGATAAAAAGAGAGCCGGGGGAGAAAATCTGGACATAATACAACAAATTAATGAATTGTTGGAGCAATCTAATGATGAAAGAGATCATCAAGACCATGAAAAAGATGACGACTCAGAAAACGATTTTGAAAAGTTTCTTGAACAAGAATATTCTGTTGTGGATAAAGTTGGCAATGTTTTGCCAGCAAAAGTTGCTGACATAATTAAACACATGTTTAATACTAAGCAAGCTGATGATCGGTCAAAAGGAATAATGGAAAAATACCTGAGACCAGGGAATATTGAATTATATCCTCAAAAGATCAATACAGAAATTTGGGGGCATCTGAAAAAGGAAACCCAATGCAAAGACATTGACTCTTTCAAATTGAGTGAAAAATTGATAAAATGTTCATATGCTGTTATGAGCTTAGTAGAACTGTTATTAAAATCTAAGAAACAGGACAAAAAGTCAGATGATAAAGACAGTAGTCTGTCTTCTGGGATTAAGACTGGAATGGATGCTCTTTCATTACTTGACCATATAGTGCAGGATCATAATCAGATTAGACGTGATAGTTTAAAGGTAGACTTAAATCTACAATATAAAAAATTGTGCAATCCTTCTCATAATACTGATACTGGATCAAGTAAATGGTTGTTTGGTGATGAACTTGGTAAACGTGTAAAAGACATAAAAGAAACAAATCAAGTTGGTTCATCAGTGGCCAGTGGAAGCCGTCTATATAAAAGCGTTTCAAGATTTAATTCTAGATCCAAGCCTTTTTTATCACAAGGCAACAGTCACTACAAGCGACCTCCACAAAATCAAAGTCAGTACAGGTTCTCGAACAAGAAGTACAGTTCTCATCAGAGAAGCAGTTACAATCAGAACAAGAAAAATCAGTCAGAGAAAAAATAGATTTGTTTTG